CACATAGTGCTGAGAAAAATCCAACTGTTAAAACTGCTATGACAAGCCATTTAGCAGCAAACACACACAGAAATTAGACATATATGTGCCATTTAATGTGGCAATCACCTTGACACCTCTCAGATCACCAGTGCACCACGGCATGTGTCAAAGGACACTTAATGTCAGTGTTTATAGTAGCAGGAAAAGGGAGCAGGGATCAAAGTAAGTGAGGATCAGTGAGAACGTTTACATAGATGACAGCTCACTCACATGCAGCCATTCCAAAAAATGACTTACAGCTGAAAGGCTGATTATCATGCAGCCATTCCAAAAAATGACTTACAGCTGAAAGGCCACTTTTGAAAGATTCCTATACAGTTACACTCTAAGTGAAAAAATAATAGTAAGACACAGAAAATGTGCATGATGCAATGTTCCTAAGATGGACCATCGCCAAACCTCTCCCATGCTACATGGTGCAGAGGGCTGTAGAAGGGAATGTGAAGGGGAAAGGAAAGGGAAGTTCATGGTAAACATGAAGGAAAAAATAAGACTTTAAATAACAGATAAATACCTGTGTGAGATAACATGTATGTATTTATGCAAAATTACATATATATATACTGCATAGATGAAAAATTACAAAAAAGAAAAGGTATTTCAACAGCAAGCTCAAAGCATAATAATATTAATAATAATAAATAATAGAATATTTATTGAAAACTCATTATTGACAGGCACTGTCCTAAGCATGTTTGACTTATTAATCCTCATAACAACCTTACAATGGAGATATTAATATCTTTATTTTCATCCAAAAAAGAGCCCAACTGACTCCTCTATAACTGTAGAACAGAACATCTGAAAAATTCAAATGAAATCAATCATCTCATTTGCTTCTTTAATGATCCTGGTCTGTTTACTTTAGTGTCTGCAACTAAAAGATGGAATTTAACAGGGTACCATAAATAAATCAATATTGCCCAACAAGCTAATGTTGGCATGAGTCATCTAAATCAAGGGCAACTGTCTTCCTAATTAGCCACTTCCGGTGCTCATTGGTTCCACAAGGAAGCCCTGCATAATTCCTGCACGGTTCTACACCCTGGGGATTTGTTGGTGGCCATGACAACCTCTAAGTGTTTGATAGCTTTGGGGTGGTGTCCTAGAGCATGTTGACCTCTTGTTCTGAAACTGGGTGAGAAAAATTATCTGGCCTTACTCTGACAACATCACGGGGCAAGATTCCCGTCCTTCTTGAGAAAGGGGCAGTTTCCGGTGACATAGAAACTCCACCTGATCTGAACTGATCCATGGAACTGGACAGCCAAAGTGAACAGGCCTCAGAAAAATCCTTCACTGTGCAGCCCACCACTGGCACCCAACAAATCATTTCTTCACTAGTGTTTTAGGGAGAAGGTAGGGGTTGCTAGCTTCTTCTTCTATTCTCGTAACTAATTTAAGCATTCTCTTATCTCCAGCCTTGATGACAAAACACCAAGCATCAGAGCACCAGAGCAGCGATGTTCTTTATGTCCAAACACCACTGCTCCCCACTCCATGCGTCCCTATTCCCTTCTAAAACCCACTGTGCACAACCCTGCGGTGGGGTCAAGGTGTTAAAATAGAGACTGTGATTCAGATAAGGCTGCAGAAAGTGGCTAACGAATTTACTGAGGAAGTAAACACCACTGAGGAAGCCCTGAGCTGTGGTCTGGTCGGTCCCCTGAACTTGGATCCTAAATGAGACCCCGAATCTGTAAATACACAAATGAAGAAAGAGCTCTGGTGTCTCACAGCTCCATCTGTCTTGGAGCCAAGACTTTCAATCGCGCATGTGTGTTTTGCAGGCCCCTGGCTTTCCCCTCTCGTCCTGACTTTGGCTGCCTCTCATGTGGTTTTTGGCAAGGTATGCTCCGGAGAGGCTGGAAAACTTTCCATCTAGTCACTCCCTTTGGTTAACTATTAGCAGCTCTGATGAAAGCTGTTGGTAGGGCGTTGGAAACAACTATCCAAAAAGAGGTTTGAGTTCATTCATTTGGGGATTTCGGGAATCCTGTCCTCCAAACACTAAGATAACATGAACAAAGGTGAAGCAACAAACTGAGAAATGATGTCTGCTCCCTTCTGGTCAAAGGAGGGAAGGTAACTCATTAACACATGACAAACTCAAACAAAGCTCTCTCTCGTTTAATCCCCCCATAACAACCTATAACATATACATGAGGATATCTACTTGACAAAGTTAGAGACTTGAACCCAAAGTCCTTAAACTTTGCATTAAACCATACAGCTTCATGCCATTTAATTTACCTGAGTTTTGGGTTCCTTTCCTAAGAAAGCAAGACGGTTGAACTTGTTGCTCTCAAAAAGGTCTTTCTAACTCCGTAAGTCCATGAATCAGTTGACCTGGCAGGCAATAAACAATTCCTCTCTTCTAGTTTCCACATAGTTTTTCCCTTTCCAGCCTTGATTTCCCAGCAAACTCTGAAGGCCAATAAAATTATATTCTGCACATGAAAATGCTAAAAAAGCAGTTCACACATTAGTTGTCAATAGAGTGTAGCCCTTTTCCTCCTGAAGCTGTTGCTTCACCCTTGTTTACATTCCTCTGTTCCATCAGTTTAGAGCACATTAAAAAAGCAGAACTGGGTTGGTTGTTTTACGTTGGTGGTGAACTTTGTGCCTCAACTGTATTGCAACCCCCAAAGTTTACTCAACTCCACCTGGCAGTTCAGCTCCTTGAGATAAAGTAGGTTTTCTCTGTGGGAAACCAGCAGCAGTTTATCTTTTCGCTCTGTTGCTGGTGTACAGCTGGCTGGGCATCTAATAGTCATCCAGTAGAAAGTAATCAAAAAAAAAAAAAAAAGGGACATGAAGGGAGTACTGCCATGTAAGAGGAATTAAAACCAATACCTTGTTTTGGTAGACTTGTTAAAGGCCAAGGTAAATGTGTGTGGGTGTGTGTGTGTACTCCAGGATTGTGTGGCTGTGTGGGGAACTGTGAGTGAAAGGATCCTGGATAAATAGCTAGTGAGGAGCAATTCTTACTGTCTACATTCCTAAGTACTATCAGATTTGGATCAATTTCTCATGAGAGAAATGGAAAGTTACATTTTGTTAATTTTTAGCAAAACCACATGTAGTCATTCTCTTAGAGAAAATTACACTGACAGCAACAAAGTCATAAAAAATGTATATAAGAAAACAATACAACATAAGACATGAGGAGAGAGCAGTCCATGTGCTGGTGCTTTGATGGTAATGCTAAGCAATAAAAAAAAATTCATACTGCAATCTATACAAGTAAACAGCCTGAAACTTCTTCTGTATTCAAATTTGATAGAGAAGAAGAAAATGGGCTTTTCCAACTCCTAGTATTATGAGCTGAATTGTTTCCCCCAAAAAGATGATGAGGTCCTAATCCCCAGGACCTGTGAATGTGACCTTATTTGGAAATAAGCTCTTTGCAGATGACCAAATTAAATGAGGCCATTAAGGTGGGCCTTAATCCAATAGGTCTGTGTCCTTATAAAAGGGGAAGGGGGGACTTGGACACAGAGGCAGACGTGCATACAGGGGAAAAGTCATGCGAACATGAAGACAAATCAGGGTGATACCTCTACAAGTCAAGGAATGCCAATGATTGCCAGCAGATCCTTAGAAACTAGGATACAGGATTGGAAAAAATTCTTCCTTCACAGTCTTTAGAAGCAACAAACCCTATAGACACCTTCATCTTGGACTTCTAGCCTCCAGATCTGTGACACAATATATCTTTGTTCTGTAAGCAGTACCACTTACTGGTACTTTGTTATGGAAACCCTAGCAAATGAGTATGCTTAGGTTTTCTCAAGGTCACCTCCTATCACCACACATCTCTCCTCCTGCCCCTTTATCCGCACAGCATCTCCAAAGGCGAGAGAGAAAGTATTTGAGGAGAGTTGGGTTTCCCCTCCGTTTTCCTCTCATCCTTGAATCCTTGAATCTTGTCTTATCCTTCACTTTGAAGCCTAATTTCCAAAGAAGTGTTCATAAGAAGCTTCTAGCATAACAATAAGTGGCTAATTCTACCCAAGGGCCAAATGGTAAGAAAAATAAAAAACTATTAACCTGGGAAATTTTCTTCCCAAAAGGCTTGAGCTGAGGGCTGTTGGTTCTTGGATATTCTACTACAATAGTTGAAGAAGAGGAGAGAAGAAAAAGAATTTGCCTCTAAAAGGTCCTTCAGTTTAAATCTGATACCAAGTAGTCTAATTAGATTCAGACAATCTGTTTGGGACCCACATCAAGATTGCAGCACTGTTTTTAAGCAGCAGATTTGGACCATACATTTACACAGGTTTAGTTTCCTTGCTTTGCTGATGCTGTTTCCTCCTAGAGGAGAGTGGATGGATCCTGGTACTTGGAATTAGGTTGGAGTTAGCTAAGGGATGAGCCAAAGGACTGGCATTTGGGAAATAAATTTTAGTATTAATTTAGAAAAGGGAGTGGGTTCAAGCAGCCAAGAGGTGAACAGATGGCAGTGCATGCTGGGAGTTCCTGGCAAGGAGTCCGTCACTAGAAGGGGTGGTTGAATAAAATGCTTTTGTATCTAGGTTGCAGGAGGAACAGGAAGCGGTGACTAGATTTGGCAGCTTCTAATACAAAACTTATTAAAGAGGAATGAATTTGATTATCAACAAGTGACAATTTACTTTTCGTATCTCTACTTGATTTCCTCAGAGAATTTTCCAGGAAGAGATGAACCTCTTAAGTCGCTAGTCTAAGTGTGTAAGAGGTTCAGACATGACAATTGGGCTTCAATTTATCCATATCAATGAACTTCAAAAAAGAAATGGCAGAAGTCTAAGAAAAACATACAAACACAGAGAAGATTTATTCCTTTCTAGCTATGGCAAAATCACAGGGGAAAATGTCATATAGAACAATTTAATAAAAGGTTAGGATCTTGATCTTCCAGTAAGAAAACCAGAGTCTCTCAAGTGTTCTAGAAAGAGGAAGCTGTTGCTCTTTGTGGTTAAGGTTTTCTCTGCCAGATAACCCATGCAATTAAAAGGCAAGTTTTGCCACTTGACTGGTCACTCTAAGCAGACCCCTGTCAAGCACACTCTGGAGGCACCACTGCTTCTGAACCAAACCAGTTTCAAACATTCGTTCTTGAGCAGTAATGGGCCACACTTCTTTACTCACTGTGATAGTTAATTTTATGTGTCAACTTGGCTGGGCCATGATGCCCAAATATGTGGTCAAATATTATTCTAGATATTTCTGTGAGGGTCTTTGGATGAGATAAACATTCAAATTGGTGGATCTTAAGTAAAACAGATTGCCCTTCATAATGTTGGTGAGCCTCATTCAATCAGTGGAAGGCCTAATTAGAACAAAAGACAGACCTCCCCTGAATAAGAGGTAATTCTGCCAACAGATGGCCTTTGGACTTTATCTGGAACCTCAGCTCTTCCAGGCTCTCCAGCCTGCCAGCCCACTCTGCAGATTTTAGACTTGCTAACCCCCACAATTATAAACCAATTCCTTAAAATAAATCTCTTGCTATATATACATATGTCCTGTTGGTTCTGTTTTTTTCTGGAGAACCCTGACAACACACTCATTTAGAGATTTGTCCCCAGAAGCTGTCAAATAACCTTTGAGCAGATACCAAAGATAATCCAAATTCAGTTTGAATAATGCTTACAGGTCAGCTTCAGTGGTCAGTGGTGCAATGGCACATGCACATTTCAGATAGACAAGATGCTTTAATGAGGCCTTAAAACATCAGTTGTATTTTTAAGTGAAAGACAAATGTATCTACCGATTTTGTCGAGAGTCATCATGCTGCTGCACCTAGGAGAAGGCATTCACAATGTCTATCCACTCCATATTTGTCATCCATCTCCATATCCCAGCAGAATGCCTGGCATGGAGCAGCTAATCACTGAAGGGTGGCATTGAATTTGTGGGACAGGGTATGCTGATGCAAGCGATCTCCACCCTCCTGTCCAGATGTTTGCCAATCACATTCCCTAAAACCAGGCTACCCCAGTAGGAAAAATAATACTGAACATTTACTGCATGATCACTCTATGCCAGACCTCAAAATCCCTTGAGGAAGGGACTTGTATTGTCCCCATTTTACAGACCAGGAAATGGAGACACAGAACATGAAGCAATTTGCCCAAGGTCTCATATACATGTGGTATCACATATCCAGTAAGACGCAGAGCCGGAATTTGAGCCCCAGTAATGGAGCAAGAAGATTAGCAGTCTCCAGAAACTCCTAGCTTGCTTTGTTTGCTGGAGCCTGGTGTGAAGGATTTAAACTCATGCTAGTAAGAAGAACTACAAAGGGCCATGTAATGCAGGATCAGACAAGTCATTGGTATGGAGGACTGACCTATGCACTGTGGCATGTTTAGTGACATCTCTGGCCTCTCTGCTCCCTAGATGCACCATCTCCTAAGTTGTGACAATCAAAATTACTCCAAACATTGCCAAATGTCCACTTTGGGGTAAGGAAGGACCACCTCAGTTGAGAATCAATGGCTTACTGTACTAAGATTCATAGTGTAGCATTTTTACCTAAACCCAGTGTCATTATCATTTTTTTTCTCAGTAACTTGTGGGGGTTTCTCATATACTTTATTCCTCATTTCCCCAGGCAGTGTTTATGCAGCTGCCCCTAAAGATGAGATGTTTCTCAAAGTGAATAGAGACAGGGGGTGGGGGGGAGGTAAAGTAGCAAAATGGCACAGAGGACACAAGGTATATTACCATTCTGCCTAATGACCTGCTTTGTCTTTAGGGTCCTGAAGTGCTACCCAAGGGCCTTGTGTTTCCCTGGATTTGAAATACCCACTGACTGGAGGGCCCTGCCCCCTTGTGAGGTCAGAGCTTCTGCCAGGATCCCCAGAAACCCTTTGATGCTGATGAAAAAAGGCTGGAGTCCACTCTTGTCTACCACTCTGTTTCTGCACCTTCTGTTCCTTCTGCCTGGAACGCCCTCCCTCCCCCCGCCCAGCCACATCACTCTCAATCATAACTCCCAGATCTATTTCATTGGTAAAACATTATCATTGGAAATCATCGTGTTTGTTTATTGGTTTACCTGTGGAATGTCTGTCTGCATCACTCTCCACCCATTACTAGAATGTAAGTTCCAAGGAACCCGAACCCATAATTCTACCTCCCAATTCCTGGGAAAAAAATCATGACCAATACATAATGGGTATTCCATACATATGTGTTGAATTAATTAACTCTGGAAGCTATCTTGTATTATTCAAACTTTTACATGTCTTTTTTTGACCCATAAACAGTTCAAGAAAAGATCTTTATGGGGTAGTGGGGCACATGAGTCAAAGGAAGAGTATTAAAATTTGAGTTGCTGACTGTCATATTATTGTATGCCTGGAGGGAGTGGTTTATGCATCCCAGTGATCTCAGAACAGACTTGCAGACAAACCTTCACCAGTCTGCCAAGACCTTCTGGTCCCAGTGTGGAACACAAGTCCCTATATGACTCAGCCATTATTTGCTCCTACTATGCATGTACCCCACCCTTGTTATTCCTTCAAGTGTGAAGAGTCATGGGACCTGGCCCAACTGACTCTCTGCTCAACATTTCACTGCTTTGTCCTCTCTTCTTTCTCATTCATGAACTCTGTTGGGGAATAGAAGATTTTGTGTGGGATGAGGAGAAACACATATATAATAGAAAAACAAAACTGTGAAAAGTGAAAAATGTCTTTAATGGAACTATGAAATGACTATAGGTTGATTCATCAGTGGAAACACATGGAAACAATTATCCCCAAGTTCAACAGTTATGAAACCTGAAACTGTTCAATGTTTTGTTCGGAGTTACGTATTCAGCCTTTGAGAATTTATGTGAATTGTCTGTTCAAATACCAAGGAAAACATCTAATTCGTTCATTAAAAGACTCATAAATGGATCTTCTGCTTTCTTCTGAATTTACAGTGGAGAAAGAAGAAACAGACCACCTAAAAGGAGCTTTGACTTGATGCCTCTGCCACTGGAAAAAATTCTAAATCAAGCTTGATTTGTATCCAAGGGCTGGAATGAGGTTAACAGGGAAGTCACAGCAGGAAACAGGTTGCTATTCTGACCTTAGCCTTCTCAGCCTATTCTAGATATGGCTACCACTGTACAGAAGCTCAGATCACACCAGGCAGGGACCAGATGTGATCTCAGAGTTTGCTCTCCAGTTTTGATTTCTAGTGTGCTATTCTCTGCTGCCAGAATGACCATGATGATACCATATGGATGGAGTTGGCCTGGTTAACCAATGATTGTATGAACTATCTCCAAAGGTCACAGAGTAACCACAACCAAAATATTTTCACACTAGGAGTATATCACCAGGGCATCAAAATTTCAGATCTATTTGAATGCTCCATGTAGGAAAGGTAAAGGAGTACTCCAGTGTCCTGCAGGTTCCTGGTCAGGCAACTAATATACTCATTGTATTCAGCTCTCCCACCCACCCCCTCCCCACCCCCAGCTCTTTCTCTTTCTCATCAAGTGAATTACTCTTGTCTCTAAGGTCTCTGTATTCCCTTTGCAATTGCGAGCTCTTTATACACAGGCTTTGGGTTCTCTGCTTCAAATCCTCTACCCAGATATAAAAGGACAGGTGAAGTACTGTCAGCATATATTTGTAAAGATTATCTGAAAAAATAATAGAAGCTATAAACTTAGACAAAACAGGATGTATCTGGTAGCTCTGCTATGCCAAATATTTTTGATAGTACCCTCTTAGGTTTAAACATTTTTAGTCGGCCAAAGCCAGAGGTCTTACTCATATCAGGTAAAAATAAGAAAGGACATTATTAAGTTTTTATACAACAAGCATCACGACCCAGGAATATATCCCAGGGATGAGCTTCAGAGGCCTGGCTAGGCAGAGAGACCTAGAAACAAGTCTCTGCCAAAGAAGAAAATGGAAAGAAAAATGCACAGATGATGGGTGGACACAAAAACTAAGATCCTCCACTCCACACAAAATTAGAGAAAATTCTATGTGTGATTTGCAGACTTTAGGGAGATAAAGTACCTGCCCACCACATGGCTGGTGGCTCTCAGAGTATCCAGCCTAGAGCATGACATATTAGGGTCCTCAAGAAGTTTCCAGTGAGAGCACATGAGTGCAAATATCTCTGATGTGCATGAGACAGTGGCCATGGAATCAGGAACGTGTGGAGATCTTCACATTCACTGAGTATTTATTGAGAGCTCACTATGTTATAAGCACTATTCCAGGTTCTTGAAATACAGCAGTGAACACAACAGGAAAATAGCAACAACCGTGCCCTTATGGAGCATATTTTCTAGTGGGAGGAAATATAAGAAGCAATAAGTAATGTAGGAAGTTAGATAGATGTGGTGGAGAAAAATAGATGCCATGGAAAGAAATCAGGAAGGTTTGGGTTGTGGTGTAACTTTAAATAGGGTGGTTTGGGAAGATCTCAATGAGGGGGTAACATCTGAGTCAGAACCTGAACGAAGTTAAGGAGTGAACCAAGTGGGTTCTTGGGGGAAGAGGTCCCTACAAGCAATTCGCTTGTCTCTGAATCAGCCCCAGAGTTAAGGCGGGGCTGTGATTTTGTTGATGGATTGCACATGCTTCTGTGCTCATCTGGCTCTCTTCTATTCATGCCCCAGATCTCCGCTTAGCTCTGATTGCCTAGAGACAGCATTCCTTTTCTTCATGTCTAGGTTAGGAACCCTTTCCTATGTCCTCCCAGCATTCTATTTCCCCTGTCAAAACAGTTACCACGCTTTGTGGTATCAGCTGCTCAACTGGCTTCTTTCCATGTTATTCTGAAAGGAATGAAAAGACCCTCCCACTCAACATGGAATCCCCCATATCCAGTGCAGCACTGGGAAGACAGCGTTGGTTGGGGAATCCGACCACTTGGGTTCCTATCCTGGCTCACCCACTTACTTAATATGTGCTGTTGGGCAAGTTAGTTAACCTATGCCTCAGGTTTCTCATGCTTGAAATGGGAGATTAGAGCTAGCAAGTGCCTGGCACATAGTAGAAGATTGATAAATGAATCTAACAATCTCTACATCCACGGGGGTGCGCTTCCTTCTGTAGTTGTGCATGGGCAATGTAGCCCAGTGAAATAAGCATGAATTTTAGACTCAGGTAAATCACAGTCTGTTGGAAGACTGAGTGCAATATTCCCCAATTACTAAAGGGAGATAAAATTCTCTCTTTTAAAAATTTGTTGAGGATAAAAAAGGTAACATTTACAAGGTGCTTCCCATCTAGTAGGTACTCCACAGAAACTCTGTCTGCTCTCCCCACTGCCCACACTTTGCCTATGAGTATCCTGCATTTGCATGTCATGGTATGATGCTCTCTAAACATCTCTGAGGAGTCGCTAACCTTTCCTCAGGCCCACACTCTGGCTTCTCCAGGAGATTGCAAATTCTTTGAGGTAAGACTGCACTTTATTTCTCAGAGATTCTCATCATGCCTTGCACAGGACATTCCAAGAATAGGCTTTCAAATATGAATTGAATGAATAATAAATAGGGGGAGGAAGGAGGGAACGAGAGAGAGGTTTTGTTAAGTCAAGGGTTATATGAGGAATAGAGGCCAAGGAATGGTTCATGGAAATCAATGTAAATGACTCATGCAAATGAGCTGACTGAAATACATTTAGGGCTCCCTTAGGGGGGAAAATTCCATTTCCATCCCTAGGATAGATACTTATCTGTTCGGAATCACTCAGATACAGCCCTGCCTGAAGAAAGAGATGACCTCTTAAGATCCTTTTTTAACTTATTATATTCTCTCTCTCTTTTTTGTAATAAATTTATCAGTAAACTTAAACAGAGAGAGGACAACAATATTGTCTGAATGAGATGCATATTTTCCCACATGGTACAAATAAAATATTCTAAGAGATAACATGGTTGCCGTTCAAGGCATTACTAAGAAAAACTAGCTGTATTTTTATCAGATGAAAGAATCTCACTGCAGATAAGCTAATCTGCTATTTTAACCCCAAACAGGACAATTTTGAACTATGCAAAAAATTAATGCACAGCTTCTGCTGACTGTAGAATGCATTACTAAAAGACATGATGCATCATTGATAAGATACTCTTGGGAACCTGAATGCTGAGAGATGAGAAATTTAAACAATGTAAGAGAAAGTGACTCAACACATAGAGAAAGATATGTGTTTCATAAAATGAGACCAATGCATTTGAAGCAATGAATTAAGAATTTACAAATCCACCCAACAAAAGCACAGATGAAAAGAATCTATGGATCCTCCTGTCTACATCTTCTTTAATATTTAAATACAGCAGCGTTTCTCCCTCTGGTACCCCAGGACCCTTGGAGGATCCACAGGCACCTTTTCAGGGTTCATGAATTATATAAAATTTTAAAATTTTTGCATAGTAATGTTAATATGATGTATTGTTTAAACTTTTTTACAGTTTTAACAATAGAACTGTATTCATTTTCCATTGCTGCTGTAACAAATTACCACAAACTTAGTAGGTTAAAACAACACACATTTATTATAGTTCTGGAGGTCAGAAGTCTGACATTGTTTCATTGGGCTAAAATCAAGGTGTCAGCCAGGCTGGACTCCTTTCTGGGGGCTCTAGGCGTGAATCCATTTTCCTGCCTTTTCAGCTTCAAGATGTCACACATATTCTTTGTCTTTCTTCCATCTTCAGAGCCAGTGGACATAGCATCTCTCTGACCCTGCTTCTGTTACCATATCTCTTCTCTGACAATAGCCTGGAAAGGTTCTCCAAGTATAGGGATTCAGGTAATTAGATTGGGCCAAGCTGGATCATCTCCCTGTTTTGAGGTCCTTAAACTTAATCACCTCTGCAAAATCCCTTTGGCCGTGTAAGTTTTACATATTTACAGGTTCAGGAGATTAGGATAGGGAAGTCTTGGGGAGCCAATATTCTACCTAACACAAGAACTCTTTTTCATTTATAATTGGCAACTGAAAAACAGTTTCTGGGAATAAGATTTTTAGCTTCATAAATCAGCATTTTTCAAATTGGAAAAGGCAAACACACAATCCCAAAAATCTTCAATATCTTAAGGTTTTTCATTGAGAAACACAAGAATTTCACTTTTTTCTGTCAGTTTAGACCTGTTGTCTAGTCGGAGATAGGATTCCTGTGGGGACCAGTTAACTTTGTTCAGCTCTACCACCAAACACTCCATCTGATGGGGATGCTGTCTTACCAATAGATACTTTGAATTCAAGAGGGTGCATTTTAAGAGAATACAGAGTATTATACCAGACCTAATGCCATTCCTGGAAAAACTCAATAATCATTTTCTGTTGGATATCAGTTTTCTATTGGATATCAGTTTCATCCTCACCAGGTGGGAAGAGTCCATTAGACACCTGTTCCAGAATAACACAAGAGAAAGACTCCTAGTAAGGGATGGTGGGGTTGGAGGAAATCACATAGCTTATTCTCATCCCTCCACCACATTATGACACAAAAGGCACAGCACATCTTTGGTCAAAGTTAGAAACAGAACAGTTAGCTAAGTTGCAAGTGAAAAATGTTATAAGGAAAAGAAGCAGTGGGATGGCATTAGAGATACATGGACAAAGGAGATCGTAGAGAGAGGTGATTCTTAACCAGGGGTCCACTGAAGAATTTCTAGGGAGCTCTGAACCCCTAATATTTGTGAGTTTTTCTTAGGAGAAAGATCATATCATTCATAGGATTCTCAGAGGCATATGACTCCACAATGATTGAAAATCACTGTTCTCACATGGAAGAAAAAGTAACCTGGGAATTCTGAGAACTACAACAACCAGCCAATAAAATGGAAAACTTGAATGAATGTCTGGGAAGAGGAGAGGTCAGGGGTATATTTGTATATTCATATGAGTAAATATTCATTAAATGTGTGTTTTGAAAATGAATATGAAAGGAAATGGAAAGCTTACAGACCTTTTTACATCACCAGCTGGGTTTTTCTTTTCCTCCTACTGCACTACACAACCCAACTGGCCTCCCGGTCCTCCTAGCGAGATGGCCTTTGGCCTTTGCTCTCAGTCCTTGACCTCTTGTGAAGGTAGTGCATTTACAAAGCCCCACGAGCTCAGATGTTCTAAAGACACATTTACACACACACACGCACACACACACACGCACGCATGCATGCACACAGACCACATGGCCTTTTGTAAAAGAAGCTATTACAACACAAAAAAGTAATATGAGACTTAAAACCCCTCCCAATGTCTCTTAACCTAAAACAGAAAGAAAAAAGGGATAAACACCACTCTGAGATGTACTGTTTTTTATAGCACATTTTAAATGGTGCAGTTTACAATGACCACCCCTTAAAAGAAGAAAATGCATTTACCAGCAAACTGCGGTGGGACCTTACCCCAGAAATAGAAGGGGTATAGGACCATTCTTCTGGAAATATTTACTCACATTTACCTGTGTTTACTGCGTTGAATGCCAAATTCTACAACTGAGCCAACACACTCTGATATCTCATTGTGTCTTTTTAATCACTTTCTTTCACATTGAATAGCTTGAGTTTCCACATCTCTGCCATTCCATTATAAATACAGCTCATTCACATTTGGCTAAAACACTCCATGTTACTTCTTGGATTCCAATTACCCAACAGAAGGTGCATTGAATTTGCTTAGGAAACAAGGACAATGTCTGTTTGTAAAAGTTTATGGCATCCCCTCTCCCCACCCCACCCTCAGAGTGTTTTAGACATCTAAGAGAGTCAAACCCTAAAGGAAAATATAAACAAGCACTTGGAATATACACACAATTACATATCCTATTTGTAAAAAATACTGCCACCATCTTGCCAGGCAGTGAAAAGAGGAAACATTTATCCCCGTATAACTCACAACAGACATTTTTTTTTCTTCCTCTCCACCAATGCCTAAATCACTTAAATGATAAATGCATCATTTGACTGAAATATACCACAATTGCAAATGTTAAGATTCCAAGCATAACATGGTAACATTGTATCATGCTTTTATTGATAAGGCAGTAAATATTAGATGGATCAATAAGGCTCAGAGAAAATAACATCAAATTTCTAAGAATAGCAGAACAAGAGAATATATTTAAATAATCCTTTCTAGTGGTTGGAAAATGCATTGAATTCTCTAGAAGGCAAGAGACCTCATCATATATGCATGTGCATATACATATATACATATTTCTCACCTGGGACCTTGTACCTATAAGTACCTCATAAGTTCAATAAAATTGATTACATAGTATAGCTCAGCAAAAAATTCAGGATTTGGGATCAAACAGACCTGAGTAAGAATTCTATATTTGCGGGGCGCCTGGGTGGCTCAGTTGGTTAAGCGACTGCCTTCGGCTCAGGTCATGATCCTGGAATTCCGGGATCGAGTCCCACATCGGACTCCCGGCTCAGCGGCGAGTCTGCTTCTCCCTCTGACCCTCTTCCCTCTCGTGCTCTCTATCTCTCATTCTCTCTCTCTCAAATAAATAAATAAAATCTTTAAAAAAAAAAAAGAATTCTATATTTGCTACTCACAGGCTGTTTGATTTGGGACAAAAGAGGTTACTTCTCCGAGCCTTGGCTGCTTTTCTCAAGTATAAATGAGAAAAAGAATGCTTTCCTTATAAGATCCCTATTAACAAGACCGGCTTGCATAGAGTAAGCACCAGAGAAATGAAAGCTATTAGCATCAGTCATATAATTCATTAATTCATTCATCAGACACTGAGTTCCTATTCTCTCCCCTGCACTGTGCCTTGATGGAACCCTAGATATATCTTGATCTTAGTGCAAAAGGTACACATTACAGCTCACATACTCTTTTTTTTTATTGCTCAATTTAATTTATATTTTGAACCTTCATTCTGCCTACTTGTAGATATCTAAGCTTGGTCAAATCAGGGTCCTTCCTTTATCTTTTCTCTGGGGTTGTGCCATGAATTAGAAGTTAATATAGTGAGAAGGAATATGCTCACAGTCTAGTGAAGAAGAAAAATAAATGATCTATTTTTAAACAATATGGTAAATACTATGGCAGTGGGATAATGATATTTTGTAATACTAATACCTCTTCTTTAGGATCCCTTGGTGTTCCCCTACTTTAGCATTACAAGATTCACTGTCAAAAGGCTGTTACAGCAAAAAGCACAGTAAATATTTTGAGTTGCAAAAGCCTAGGCCCAAGGGAAGGAAGGGCACAGAGACAACAGGATGGGGTTAGAGCTGTATTTCCCACACATCTCCTCCCACCCTCCACCCATCTCACCAGCTATCAAATCACATTTCCTCAGAGGGTGGGGAGAAAAAAGGGTCTCAACAAACAGGAGAACTTCCATGCAGCTGAGTCTGCAAGAAGGGACTGCATGTAGGGCCACAGGGGATGACAGGACTCCCAGGTGAAGCTGAGAGCTCCAGTGTTGGAGGAATTTGTGCTTCAGTCTCTCGTAGAGCCCTGGAGGTTCATTCAGATACCAGACAAGTATCAGCGTGCTAGATGTAGGAGGACTGGTCTCAGGCTACCTCACTGAGTTAAGAAAATGTTCTCCTATTTCTGAGCGTGATCCAGAGAGAGACAGGCCTTGGCACCCTGAACTTTCCCATTGCCCAACATGGCCTGGGAGCATATATTTCTGTGTGCCCAGGAAGGACACCAAAGCAGAGAATTTTGCTAAATCTGCCTTCAAAGATGAGAATGAGTGATGTTATAGCCACCTGTCTGCACTGACAACCAAAGAAACGGTGAAGACAATGGGCATCAAGTGGAGGCCAGCAAGAATAGATCATGGCCAAGAAAGTATTCCCTAACCCAAATAATTTGGGTCTGTATGAGCCCAAGTCACATGGGTTTAGACATAAGCCCAGAGAAGAGATGGGAGAAGTGTCCTGTTTACCTGAGCATAGGTATCCAACAAGAGGCAGAATGAGAGTTCCCAGTGTAAATTTAATCGGTCAATACAAAAGACTTATGTGAGCTGAAATGTATATTTATTGTACTAAGATCAAAGTATGTCTAGGGTCCCATGATTCCAAAAAGAAGTTAGAGGAATCAGAATAGGGTAGCTTGACTTTAGGATTGAGATAAAAAAGAGTCCCATCTGGGTTCCAGAGTGCTCTAGACAGAGGGAAAAATCTGTGCAATGGTACAAAGATAGGAATGATGAGTTTGGGGGATAGCAAACTATTTGCAATAACTGGTCTTAGGGGATAGGCCAGGGAGTGATAGGAGGTCCAGCTGGAAAGGAAAACCTGGGTCAGACCATGAAGACTTTTATCCAGAATGCTCTAGAACTTTAGAAGAAATGTTCTGACAATTGGGTATAGTGTGATTTGGGAGGGAGTGGGGAGAGGCCTAACATTAGAGGCCACAAGTCCAAACTAGCTCAACCAGAAGATGAAATGAGAACTGACAAAGGAGAAAGCAAATTATAGTGAACCTTAAAATGGCACCCAAAACAGTGAGGAGGAATAAATATGAAAGAAGAGGCAGACATAGGTTTAAATGATGTTTGGTTCCTTAATGGGAATCCCAGTCATGTATCTAATTTTGGTTTTGTCTTTCAAAGATGAATTAAATTCCAGGATCATAAATCTTATGAGAAATTTTATAAAAGATATCAAATTCCAGAAACAGAAGAACCTGGCCACCTGGACTGTCCTTTCCCAGCTTTAGGGGCTTGGAGGAAAGAAGTCTCCAGATGCTTTTCTGAAGTCACTGGGAGCTGGAGCCCACACCTTGCCATTACAGCTGTATGATGTTGCAAGGTTGCAGCAGGATTAGCTGCATCTGGGTTCATGGGTCGGGAAGCACTTGGCTCTCCCCACCGTGATGACAGCTGGGATCTAAGCTGAGGGAGATCAGCCTTGGATGATGGTCCCTCACCTCTCATCCTAATACCCCCTCTCCACTTTGTCCATGCTGAGGGATACTCTGATTTTTG